ACCTAGGTACTCAAAACACAACCTTATGCAGTTCACAGTTGAGCCCCTAAAATTAACATATCAAAAAGTTTTAATATTCATAGCTCTGATGCAGATTGGATTGTAAAATATATTTTAACTAATATTAAAAAAAAAAAWAATAATAATAATAATAAATATTATGACATTACAATCAAAATACTATATTATTACGTAGTACGTACATCGTCACGGTGTCACGGTGTCTAGTGTAAAAGGTAGCTTTATTTCAGTATATTCCTTAAGAATGTTCCAATGCAACAAAACAAACATGTTTTTTATTATAACGTGCGTAGGTAGGTATACTGATGTATATGTATGGTACAATATTACTGAATTACATTTATTACTTATAATATATAACTGATCCGACTTTCGAAAAATCTCATAATTATTTGTAATATTTTTAAGTTTTCAATTTCAATTTAATCAAATTTCGGGGGGAACGTCCTGAATCTTAATTCGCTTTTGTGCTATTGGCTAATATGTTATCAAAATAATAAACACATGTGTGCATCATTAAACCACGTCATATAAAATTTATTGTCCTGCGGTACTTTATCAGGTACTTTATCTGGTACCATGTGACTACCGTGGTGTTAACAGTGTTAGATTAACTATCGATCAGCTGTTTTGACTTTTGATTAATTCTGTCTATCATTATTTCCATATCTTCATTCCTGACTCCTGTTCGTGTTTCATGTTTAATTAATAGTTAATATTAATCTATAACAAACTTTTTTGTTATTTCTTAAATATATTGTTTGTGCTCATTTAACTCGTTTATGTAATTTCTTTATCTTTCGAGCACATTTTTATGCCACACAATTTTTTTTACCCTGTTAAATTTAAGCTGTTTAGACGGCTATAACATTATACAGAGTACCACATTTAAAATGACATAGGTGTATTTTGGGTTTTAATCCTAGTATTCCATTAACGGGAGAGTATATTTTAAAAATTTTACCAAGTTTTGAACTAATATTTTAATTCATACTATTTAATTAACATGGAAGTTAACAAAGATGAAGCTTATCGCTGTTTAGATCGTGCTGAGTATTATATCAGCGAAGGCGACGTTGAAAAAGCAGAAAAGTTCATAAATAAGAGCAAGAAACTATTCCCAACTTCTGAAGCAGATGGCAAGTACATTAATTTTCTCAACTATTAAATCATTTATAAATTTAAATCTGTGCAGAGCTTTTAAAAAAATTAAAAACTCAAGGCTCAAAAAAACATTCAACATCAAATCCAAATGTGAAACCTGACGGACAAAATGCAAAAAAACGTAAAAATACGCCTCCAGGTATTTAATTCTCAAAAATTTCTTTTTCTTCATCAAATAATATTAATTATACTCATAGGTAGCCCTAAAGGAGAAAGAGCTAATCAGCCAACATATACAAAAGCACAGTTGGACACGGTCAAAAAGTAATTAAATATATCATTTAATTGATTATTATTAACTACATTGATTACATAATAATAATTAATTGCAGAAAAAATAAATTGTTTTACCTATAATCAATGCAATGATATAAATCATTCCTTTACAGGCTAAGCACCACATTGATCTTAATACTTGTCAGAATGATTATGTTATTATTATGTATAAGAATATAGTGAATTATAAGCATYCTAATTCTTATTCCTTAAATTATGCCTGGAGCTGAATAGTCATATTGTGTAGATMAATAAACCCCACATTGTGCTATAATCAAAATTACATTTTAGATTCTGAATGGAGTGATAATAAGCATTTAAAGTTTCAAATTTTGACAAAATACTTAAGAATCATGAAAATTAGGAAATTATTTTGAGTTAGAAATTTAAAAAATCTATCTATTTAAATCTGAGATATAAAAAAAAAATCAATATAAGATTCTTCATAAGTTTGTCTACTTTTATCAATTAAAAATTGYCACCCGGATAATCAAATTAAATTTCTATGAGCATTTGAATTTTGAATTTTTACAATATTGAATATTCACTCAATTTCTCTTGTATCAATATTCTTATTATGTTTTTATCCAAAAATGAACAACTGTAGAAACTTTAAATTTACTCCATAGGTATGTTAATTTTATTAATTCTATACTTGATAAAATTTTAAAAATATTTCTGCTCGTTTTATGTTATTTATAGACATTTGAAATTTGAACTTTCTATAAATGTCAATATAATTTTATTCGTTGGGTCAAAAAGCTTGAAATTTTAATTCTAGGTTCCCCATAAGTTGATATAATAGCAGTTGGAAAATATTAAAAGTATTTAGGTACATTTTGTTTTTTATATAACTGTTTTAAGCAGTARTATTTAAACTGTACATCTCAGCTCCCAGGGGCGTTGTGAAAGTTTGCAAAGGGAGCCGCGTCAAAGCACCACAAACCAACACATACCTAGGTGTTGTATAATTATTATTAAAATTATTTGTAATCATTTTGGAAATGAAAACGACACACCATTTTAAGTTTTATTTCTAGCACTAAAGTCACTGTTATTATCATCCATAAAACATATTGGCCATATTGTATCCTTGTGTTGTTTCAATTTTATCATAATAATTTGGAAGTTGTMAAAATATTGTGAACACCCAAAGGAGCCGCAGGATGAAAAAGTTTGAATACCTCTGGTTTAAAGTTCAAATTTTGACAAAATGCAAACTAAAAATTTAATAATTATTTAGTTAAAATATTCTAGACTGACAAACCTGCTCTACACAGAATTGTTTTTCATGTACAATGATATTATTATTTTATATAATTAAATTCAAATTTAATACCATCCATTACAGTGACTCTCTTGTAAACTACTGTACAGCAGAGTGACATCCACTTACCCACTTTTTTGTACTGGCGTTTGACTTGTTAAAGATTTTAATCATATTTGTATACGTTTATAGAGTTAACAACTGCAAAGATTTCTATGATGTGCTTAACATTAAAAAAGATGCTACTGATACTGAAATAAAAAAAGCATACAAAAAATTAGCCCTTGTATTGCATCCAGACAAAAATCATGCACCTGGAGCAGCTGAAGCATTTAAAAGTGTGTAATTAAATTTTGAAATGATTTCACAAATAAATCATTGATTTTGTTTGTTTTATATTTAGCTGTTGGCAATGCAGTTGCCACTTTAACTGATGCAGAAAAACGAAAACGTTATGACATGGTTGGACATGAGAACTCTACATCAGATCATGTACACAGAAATTATGATCATGGATTTGAATGTAAGTAAATATTTTGAACTTTTTAAAATACTATTGAGATACTATGTCTATTAAATAAATATTTTGCGTGCAGCGGATATTACAGCTGAACAATTATTTAATATGTTCTTCAATGGAGCTTTTCCAAGCAGACAAGGGCCAATGTCAAACCCATACTATTCTCGATCTTTTTCAAGACGTTGGCCACCAGAGACTGATAATGATAATCATCAACAACAGGTAAAATTTTTATTTTCATTATTTTTTTATTAGAAGTGTTATGCTTATTTTTATACCAATTATATTTTAATTCAACACAATTAATAAATAATTTTTTATTCACCAAATAAATAATAAATAAGATACTRTTGGTCCAACTGGCTTCTCGTTTTATGCAGGTTCTTCTTTTTTATTTTAATCAAATTAAATATTAAAGCCTAACGCCAAAAAGAAAAAGAAAAAAATATTGTTTTTTAAAATAAAGAGACGATTTCTGTTGGCTTACATATTTATAGGATTATAATTTCCAGTTCTTGAACTCTTTAAATTGTTAAATCAAGATCAAAATCATTTTAGTACCTACTAAGTATGTTATGATTTATTTTGTAGTTGCTCTATACATTACCATATTGTAATAGGACGTATTTTCTATATATTTAAAACTAGCTGATCYCTTTACACTTTGTTGCTTGTTAAAAATACTAACTCTATATAATTCAAAATTTGAGTTTAAATCGTTGTTTAATACCCAGCTAGATATGTCCAAAATTTCCCGTGATGAATTCTTGTAGATTTGCCCTAACTTAATCTCCATTAAAGATTTTTAACACAACAGTCACATAAGATACAGGACTAAAACTATATTCACTATTATATATATTCACARTCATAATATTTTCTTGCATTTCTAGCTTTGTGAAGGTGAAACAATTTKTAAAATTGGTCCCTTATAACAAATAACTAATTTCTCATTTGAACTACCAATCGATCTTTTTTTGGGAGGCATCACAACATAAAAATGGTGTTATTATAACAAAAAACGAAATATCAATAAAAACTTTTAATGCTATAGACGCACGTGCAATAGAAACAAATTCAGGGATAAAAATTTCTTTCACACTAATTATTATGGTTATTACTATTGAAACTAATAGTAACCATCTATAAACAAAAATTTCCATCATAAATTTCAAAATSTGTGTTTGAGTACCTCCCGGGATGAGGCCTTTCACTTTTTAACTAGCCTATCTTCTGTCCATAGGTTTAATATATCTCTGTACCACAAGTTCCAACTTAACCTATGGACTTTCTAACGATGTTATATAGCCTATAACTTTCCTCAAAGGACAATATAACAAAAAAAAAATTTTTAATTCGAACCAATAGTTTCTGAGATTTTCAAAAGTTCAAACTTTGTTAATTCTCCAGCTTTATAATATTAGTATAGATAAATTAATATAATTCCAATAGCGTAATTATTAAATTTACCAATTATTATTTTATATATTTGGTTCTTAAAATTATCTCAAACAAATTACATAATTCTGTATTAGGTATGTTAATGATTATATGATAATTGATTTCGGTAAGTCAGAGTTTTCAAAGTATCTATGATGAACAACATAAAGATTATTTAATAATTAAATACATAATATTAATTCTTCTTTGCAACAAAGTTTCTTAAAACATATGTTTTCATAACTGAAGAT